GAACTCAAATTTGAGGCTGGTGACCCACATAGAGCCAACTGAGTATGTCATGTGACTTTAGTGGCTCTCCCTTCATTAGATACCCTGCCCTGGCCTTAGATCACAATCCCTTTGGGGGATTGAACAACCTTTTCACAGGGGTCACATATCAGATACTCCACATACCAGATACTTACATTACGATTCATCACATTAACAAAACTAGAGTTATGAAGTAGCAACAAAAATAATTTTATGGTTGAAGGGGTCACTGCAACATGAGTAGCTGTATTAAAGGGTTGTAGCTTTAGGAAAGATGAGAACCACTGCCTTAGACAAACATTTTGCCAGCCACTAACCTATAGAAATATTTCGTGTTTTGTGCTATGGCATTGATGAACTGTATTATCAAACATTCCTTTGTGACCTATTAACTTGTAGAGAAACAGAGAACTAAAATTCCTTAATATTTTGTACCCCATAACCCAATATAGCAGTCTGTTGAATGTATAACTGATGAACATATACCCAACATGTCCAAATTTTAATTTAAAACATTGGTATCTAAACTTAGCCTCAACTGAAGTATATTTGATTATTTGCTTCCTAATATGCAGTTTTTCAAACAATTGGTCTCATTCAGTTTTACCTAGATGTTCAGTAACTCATAGTTAAATAAAGAAATGCATCAAGAAGTCATGAGAGCTAGAACTATAAAAACCACTAAATAAATTTCCTGTGCTTTTACAACCTTTTCTCAGTTGAATCATTTTTTCCTATGTACTCTTTAATACTGTCCCAGAAATACACAAATACATTATTCTAATTAAACCAGCCCTTCCCTAGTGGTGGCAGCACACCCTTAATCCCAGCACTCTGGAGGCAGAGGCGGGAGGATCTTTGAGTTAGGCCAGCCTGGGCTACATAATGAGTTCTGAGACAGCTAGAGCTACACAGAGAGACTTCTATCTGTAAAAAAAAAAAACATAAAAATAAAACAAAACCAGCCCTCTACCCAGTGGCTGGTAACCTTCTCATTTTCCCACTTCCTCACAAATATCACCTATCCTTTGGAGACACAGGCCAAGTGTTTTAAGTGGCATATTCTTTTATTCAGAAGGGCTCTGTGGAAAGGAAGAGGCAGGTACCCTCACCTCTCATCCAAACTCTCCCTTGCCTCCAAATGCTCTTCTCTGTCAGCCTCGGATTTTGTGTCTTTCAGATGCTTCAGTCCTCTGGTCTGAACGGAGTCCTTCCAACTGTTCTCAAAGCTCAGGGGCTTCAAGCTAAAGGAGACAGATCTCGATGCCCTGGAATTTCCTCTTCTGTCCAATCCACCCCACTAACCAGTCAGCTACCTGAAAATAAGCACCATGCTTTGTTCCCCCAGTCTCCTACACAGGGCACATAGCTTTTTACTAGAACAAACTGGCATGTGTTTACAGGAATCAGGGAGCTGACACTACGCTGGAGTTAAAGTTAGGGACTTTTACTTCTCTTGGAGTAATTACTTAAACACCTGGAGGCATAACCAGAAACTTTATAAAATGAGAGTAATAAGATATTTGCTTCATATAAGGACTTAGACTTCCTGCACCAAAAATATGTCACACTAAATTACCACACCACTCAGTCAAAAAATACTATCTATGAGAATAATGGGTGGCCGTTAATAGCTCTCACGGTTATTGTGACTCATCCGTCTACTTTTTTAAAAAGATGATTTTATTTTTAATTGAACTAGGGAGAGAGAATGTAGTTATGGATATGAGTATGTGTGCCAGTACCCGTGGAGGCCAACAGAAGGCTCTGGGTGCTCTAGAACTGGTTATCTATAGGATTATATGCTTTCCTATAGCAGTTGTGGATGGCTCCCCATGGGTGCTGGGAACTTTACTCAGGTCCTCTGAGTAGGATGTGTTCTTAACTGCCAGGTCATCCCTGCAGCTGTCTGTGCACATCTATCTTGTCAAGGATTTCTACTCTCTGAGTAAGAACTCTAGGCAAAGAACCAACTGCTCACTTCCTCTGTCATGTGCTCCCAACTTCAGGTGCCAGAGTCGCATTATTACATTCCTGTCTCAATTCTGTGATTTGGGCCAATGATGGTCAGGACACAAGGCCATAGACGCCAACACCCAATGTTAGCAAATGGAGCAGTGCTTGGCAATCTTATTGCCTCTCTATGAAGAACATGCCCCCTCGCTTGCTGTTCCACATGACTCTTACAGTTTGGATATGAGATCTAACAAATTGCTGAAGCACACAGCCACTAACTTATGAAGATAAGGAAAGACGCATTAGTAATATTCTTTAAGTTTAAACTTTTATAAAAACAAAAATGTCTGACAATTCATTTGAGAATCAATATGACATGTAACAAGTGAGTTCTTATAAATAACCAAATGAACATGTTTATATATAATTAATGTATAAAATGATGGCATTTTCTTGAGAAAGGCTGCAAGATGATTTTAAGGGTGCTGTAGTCTAATTTCCTCTACCTTGGCAGGAAAGGTCTGATTCAAGGGAGAGGCAGCATTCCCATGTGCAGTGCAGACCTGATTCCTGGAATAAGTCAGAGACCCTCTCTACCTGGCAGGAAGCAAGACTAATATTTGGTCCTGGTTCCACCATTAACACAGGAAAGTTACTAAATCTCCCCTATTGTGGGTGTCCTCATCTATATAAATAGTTAAGATAGGTCAGTATTTTCCAAATATTGGCCTGTGAGGAAGTTGTTAATCGATCTTCAATAAAATGAGAAAAAGGTGGACAATGGCCCAATAAATTTGTCTTATTAAACACATTTATTTCTAAACTTATGAAAATGGCTTCCTTTTCTGAACAGCAAGGATTTTCCCCTAGCTTTGAGCATCCTCACATAGCAAAAGTTAAGCATGACCGCTATTAATAAAACCCTGCTAGTAAAACCTGCATGCATTTTTTACTGGCTCATAAACGCAAACACCTAGGCTGGACTATGTCCAGCGGTCACTAATATCTAGCTCTTCACTGCCGTGCCCTTCTTCAGTCACAGGTGGTCCTCAACTCCAAAGCAGTAAGCAATAACCTATCTCAGCCCTTTTTCAAATGCGATCTGTCACAGACAGCCTCTGGAAAGATACCATAGCTGTTTGACTAGACAGGGACTATCATTCAAATGGGTTTGGGAAACCATGGGTTCAAAGACTAGACAAGGTTTTGTTTTTTTTTTTTTTCTTTGAGAAACGTTTAGATCATCCAGGATGGTAGCATCCATCATGGGGACCCCCACCACCACCACTAAAAAAAAAAAAAAGCAAGCATGAAAAGCTCCCAAAGGTTTTGAAGGAAAACATCTGCCTCCTACCCCTCAACTATTATAGGACATTCTCAAACACATTTTAGCAAGGTGGGCAGCTTAAGAAACTTCCTCAAAACCTTTTAAGGAAATAAAAGGATTTACCATTTGTTTTATAATAGCTATAGATTGTGTTTTGTTGATCTTACCAAACTACAGATGGCTAAAACATTACAAAAGAAACCTAGTGCAAACACAGTGATGGGCAATAAACTTGACAACAGTTTGGCCCCAATTATTGACTAATAAATATTCTTTTTTATCATTACAAGCAAAGGCAACTTGTGCCAAGAGGCTTCTTTCTAGATCTGTGGCGGGAAAATGAAGGCTCTTGGACCTGACCTAAGTCTGTAGGGATCAAATTTGTTTATCATCCCCACACAGTAAATACAGAGAAAAATTAAAACACCTGTAAGAATTGAAACCAAAAACAAAGCAAAATCGACAGGCTCCTCTCAAACGGCAACACTGTTAAAAGCTACACCAATGCAAACAATTAATTATGGATTAAGTCACAGTTTATTATGATCAAAGAACGAAACTCATGGTAGAAGAAAAATCTAATGGTGCTTGATTTCTTTCTCCTTGCATAATCCTTTGATCCAAACAGAGGTTTCCTTTGCCATTGCCTGCAGTCCCCATCCTCATGGGAGACATTCACGAGCCAAACGCTTCAGCCGTCACATTCCAGATTCAAGTTTCACTTTACCCACCAAAAGAAAGGACACTTTGCATCTGAGACAAGATGACCCTAGGCTGAAGCTCCAGAGAGAGGACACAGCAATGTCTCTCAGCACTCTGACCCTCAGCTTCTCTTTGGGACTCTGTTTTGATGAGTCTGTGCCTGGGTGTCACCTCTGACACTTCCCATCAAAACTGTGCGGTAAATCCCAGCCTGTTTTCCGCGATTCTGCTGACCACAGCAGTCTGCAGCCATAAAAAGCCTCCACAGACCTGAAGTGTCTCTGCAAGGCAGCGAAAGCGCACTCAGCATTCATGCTAGCAGACAGGACAAGGCGAGAGCCTCCTGATTTAGTGTTAATTCGTTCTGAGGACTGCTTCTAGGGTCTAAGTTTAGAAAATTTACTTCTCTTTTGATGACTCTTGTAAACAAAATACCAACACTAAAATAAGCAATTTAGGCAGGAGAAGGGGGGAGTGTCCTGTCCGGCAAACCAAACCCTCTTCCAAACTCGACGGGAGAGCCCTGACAGCTACTTAGCTATACTTGGATCTGACCTGGCTACCCTCCCTCAGTCCCTAGCCCCAGGTATGCTTGAGATTTATGCAAAAGATTCCAGCTTTCTGAACAGGCTTCTCCCAAAGCTTAAACCAACAAGTCGTTGTCTCTGGACAGGACTGAAAGCACCAAATAACTAACAAATTACAACAGTCGTTTATATAAGCTGATTGATAGGCAGATACTGTACTTTGAAACTTCAGTTCGTGTGAGCATACTCCATTAGAAGCTGTTAGGAGGAGCTGCCATCACAAAGTTAGTAACAGGGGTCCAAAAGAAAGCAACGCTTAAATCACCCCTCGACACACACGGCCTTTGGCTTTCTGCAGAATAATTCAATCCCCCCATATTGTAAAGCAGATCATATTTCATATCGACAGTCAAAAACCAGCAACTCTTAATCTCACTTTTAAAACACAAAATATCCGAGCTACTTGCCTTTTGGCAATTTCTGTGCATTTCCCAGGGCAAGGGCAATACTTCCACAGAGAAGCAGACACCCCAGGCTGGAGAGCATGTTGCATTTGCCTGCTCACAGGAGGAGTGATGCTCCGGGGTGCCTGGCAAACCTGGAACCGCATTTAAGTGGAAGTCCTCCACTGAGAGAGGCGGGCGGCTGCACTGAGCTCTGCTATGGGCTTACTCACAGGGGGTGGAGACAGGATGACATCACACCCTTTCCCACACACTCAGGGAAAAAAAAAGTAGGCGCAACAGCAAAAACATATCCTCACATTTCCCTCTCCAGCACTGTGACTGTCTGGCTCTTCTCTGTTCCCTGATACAAGAACTAAAATTATGACCAATCTGTTCGGGGAAGAACTACTACCCAGGCAACTCTGAAACATTTGATGAACTAGTTTAAAGAATAAAAAGGTATGATTAAGCCCATTAAAACATTAAAATATAAAATGAAATTTTATTAAGAAGGAAACTGCTTTTAATTAGCCCGGAAACCAATCCAATTCTTCCCTTTTAAATGGGTCTTCAAAGATGGTCCTAAATTATGCAGTTGTATACTGTGAACACATGTATACACACATACAAACACACTCACACGTGTATGTATGTATATGCACATATTCCATAGGTGTGGGTGTAGAGACAGAGAGGTAGCACATGACCTTATCCACACAATGGGCTGGCCTCGGCAACAACCTTTGGCATGGTGGCTATGCAGGAGCTATGGTGTTAGCAAACTCTGTTTTCACAGTAAGGAAAGCTGAGGCATAGAAAAAAAAAGGTGTCCCAATCAAACAGTCTGCAGAATAGCAATGCATACAGGCTTTGGAAGGGCCCCCTTAATTGCTTTGAGCATCTTTGCTATGTTATCAACACTGTTTATATTCCAGGGTTTACTCCATGACAGACATTGATCTAACCAATTTACACGTTACTAAGGCATTCATTCTTCAGACCCATCTATGACAAAGACATTGTGACCATTCTCGTTTTTGATAGAAAACTGAACAAAGGGAAGTGAAAGAAAAGTTTCAGAGTCGTGGCACAAATAAGTGATGATGGCATTTAAGTAGGCCACGTGACCACAGCACCTCCAGTCTACCTTATTAAACTTTAAATTCTAAGATAAAAATGAAGGCTGGGAAGATGGCTTGGTTAGGAGAGAGCTTGCTACTGAAGCATAAGCTTAGTTCTTCAGATCCTACCACTCACGTAAAAAGTCAAACACCCGGCTGGAGAAATGGCTCAGCGGTTAAGAGCATCGCCTGCTCTTCCAAAGGTCCTGAGTTCAATTCCCAGCAACCACATGGTGGCTCACAACCATCTGTAATGAGGTCCGGTGCCCTCTTCTGGACTGTAGGCATACATACAGACAGAATATTGTATGCATAATAAATAAATAAATTTAAAAAAAAGTCAAACACCACAGCAAACATCTACAATTCCACCAATGGGGAGACAGAGACAGGACGAGCCCTGGAGCTTAGGATGCAGCCAATCTCACTGAATGGGTGAGTTCTAGATTCGGCGAAACCTTGTCTCAAAAAATAAGGGTGAGAGCAATTGGAGAGACACCCAGTGTCAGCCTCTGGCCTCCAGAGGCTCTTGGACACACAGGCACACAGCATATCCGTGCACAAGTACACATACACACAAACACCTGGACACACACGCAGTACCAGTTTCATAAATTCACCAGTCGCAGTTTTGCATTTACTTTAGTGTCCGGCACACAGAAACATATACGATAGTTATTGCCAAAGACAGTCATAAAGGATAACAGCAGCGAAGCCCTTAATGAAGAAGAATCGTAGCAGGACCACTCACTGGGAAGTCCTGTGTGTGTGTGTCCTCCCTGCTACAACACATTGTGGCAAACACAAGCACACTGCTGGAACGGCCAGGCTCACTTGATGCTCCGAGTGTTTCTAAGTTCATATCGATTCATTGCAAATAGCTTATCTCGGGCGTTGCTGTAACTAAACCAAAATCAGCCAGAGAGAGGTAGAATGACATCATCAAATGAAGTTTGACGGCGGGATTTCCAAAAGTAAGAAGGACACCTAAAGAGGCGGTGCCATCTTCAGGCGGCACAGAGTGAGGTCATTTGTTGCTGGCCGCCTGAGCCCTCACCATAGGAATGTTCTGGCGTTGGCTTCGGAAGGGGCTGGGGTATTTCACATGTTCCTCAGCTCTGATTTTCTGTTTAAACAGGCAGCTCCCTCAACCCCGAGATTCACACTCAGTCCCTGCGGCCTCTGCGCTCTACAGTACTTCGCCACCAGGCTACGCCAGTGAGGCCGGTGTTAGAGAAAACAAACCCAACAGAAACCCAAACACCGTGGGACCCAGAGAACCTAGACAACAAAGAGAACCCTAAGAGAAACATGCATGGATTCACCTAGGAAGGATAAAAAGACAAAATCTCCTGAGTAAATTGGGAGCGTGGGGAACGGGGAAGGATGGTGGAAGGGGAGAGGGAAGGAAGCAAGGGGAGCAGAGAAAACAATGTAGAGCTCAATAAAAACAGTTTATAAACAAAACAGTGTGAGACCTGGTGCGAGCCATAGGTAATGGAATTTGAGGATCAGACTCAGCTTGGCCAGCAGGGGAAGCCCGGTACACATTAGAAGTCAGTGTTTGCCGCTTGGAAACAAGCGGACACCAATGAAATGGAGGCCAGCCTCTAATATTAGGTCAGGGAAAGATGGTTGCACTCCTCTAGCCAGCAGGACAAACAAGCATTCAACAGACACACTGACAGAACGAGAGCTCAGGCCGGGGAGGGGGGAGTGGCTTGGAGAAAGGGACCTCACACATAGGGCATTTTAGCACACTGCCTAGATTTCCTGTCTTCAGGGTCCCAACACAAACAGGATGAACACATCCTTCTCACATGAGTAAGCCTCGGGGCTTAGGTCACATAATCACAGCAAGGCTTTAGGCTCCTCGCAGGGAAAAGTTGAACCTGACCTCGGGCTCAGCGAAGGTGACTTCGGAATTATTTGTGCAACTCCATTAGGTCTCTCCATCTCCACTCTTTGGATGACTTCTTAAGGCATGGTGTCTTACTTGAAGACATAGAAATGCCAAATTCCAAACACTGTAGGACGATAGACTACTGAAGTCATTGTCACTAATATCTGTGAAAAATTATGCCTACAGAATCCTTAGGAAGGACTTTGAAAAGCATACAAAATGTCATAATTACTGTCATTTTATGAAAATACTGGTCATTTGTTTCTTGATTATCATTGTCCTCACTGTCTAGAAGAATGTAACTGGGGCATGTGAAGCAAGTGTCAAAGGGAATACAGCTGGCAGATTCCCAAGGATTCTCTAACGGACAGTCCTGGATTAATGCAGAGAACACTTGAACGCAGCCTGGAAAGCGGTTGTTAAAAGTTAGTTCTCTGAGGGTCCTCCTGCTTCTGCAGATCTTATGAGTAGAGGCACCTGTTCCCGATGTTGTAGGCTACATCCTCAGAAAAGGCGCACTGCCATAGCCTTGGAAGATGGAACTGTTATTATAAATGCAGCATCTGTCTAGAGCAAGCAGGATACATGGTCCTCTCCTAGCATGAAAGATTTGTTCCCGTTCTCTATTATTCCCCACGTCATATACGGGTATCACCTATGTTAATTTGTGTTGCCCTGTGGAGACTGGGGATCTAAGCTCTGATGAAAACATTATTCAAGCCACTGCTATTACTGTGAGGAACACACCTGACTTTGCCTTTGACTCAGAAATCCTGTGTGTCACACCAGCATCCATGAGCAAACACGTGCTTAACTTGTGCACATGGTAAAAATCTCAGACTTCTGCAGATCTGACAATAACTGGGCCACTTTCAGATATCTTATTATATCTGCTTTACTAGAGTACTTCGTTATAATGCCTATATAGAAGCCCAGTGTAAGAATTGCTGTGACCCTCACAGTGTGTGCTGTGTTGCTGGATTTTGCTTATTAAACCATATATGTTTTCTTTATTGTAGCACTACAGAAAGTCTCTGATTGCTTTTCTCTCTAAAACTGTTCTGACTGGCTATTTTAGCAACTGTGTTTCTCTTTGTAGTACTGTAACCTCGTTTCTCTATCTGTTCAGATTCCTAGAAAACCAGTGCCAAATTTATCTTCCACCCACATTCAGATAGAGGTCTATGATGTGCCTTATTTTTTTTTTTTTTGGTGTTTTGTGATAGGATTTCTCTGTGTAACAGCCTTGGCTGTCCTGCAACTAGCTCTGTGGACCAGGCTGACCACTAATTCACAGAGATCGACCTGCCTCTGTCTCCTAAGCCCTGGGACTAAAGGTGTGTGCCCCGCTCTGGTGTTCACTTTAAAAACATCATTCCTGCCTCTATTTTTCCACCCACACCCTCATATCTTGCTTATTTTACTCAGAGTCTTAATTTATGTAACTTTTAAAGGTGTTTTAATTTCTTCTGGAACAAGGTAAGGCACAGCTAGCAGTCGACATGCACAGGAACTGTGTTAGGAAAGTCTTACACATGTGTAAAGTCAAAACCTGGAGACCTGTTCTCTGTTTTCCTTTCTACAAACAGTGGACACTAACTACAGTGTTTGTTACAATAGTCACCTCCCCTCAATGTGCACGTGTTCTCCGGGGATATGAGAATGAGGTACATGCTTCTAGAGGGTGTCAAGAATACAGGTCTAAATAGTGGTCATGATTTGCAGTCATTCCCTGCTGGTCTTTTAATTGCTCGATATTAATCCCCGGGCTTCACATGAAACTTGCATAAATCTTCCAAATCTTGGAAGTAAACTCTTTGCAGCAATTCAACCTAATAGTCCACTATTTTTAGTCACTAGTATGTTAGGAACCATGGTAGAGGATTTTTTTAAAAGCTTACATACATTTGCAATTAATAATATCTGAAGGTATGCTGTGGTTTTTAGGGATGCTAATAAAAATACTTTTAATGTGACTCATTCTAAATGGGAAACCCAGCATTCTGCCTTTCAGCCCAAACCTCACGTCTATAATTACTGCGTTGAAAGAGACTTATGATCCAACTGGACAAGCATCCTGCTCCGGTGAGGGTACACTTGGCCACGGTATGAAACTTTCTCTCACACGCTTTGCAGAGTGCAGAAAAGTACATAAGTGTTTGAGTTG